TTCAGTTTAACTTCATTTAAAATACTTCATTGTTTATATTTTACTACTTTTCAAATTGAACTAACCTCATTCACATAAGATTATTAATAGTGTGCCACCATTTTGAGGACCTGTATTCACAACCAATGTGCTATGTGTAGTATTACAATCCACTGTATTATAACCTCACATTATTAACACTTTTATATACAGTGTGTATAAAAAGTTAAATTGAATCAGATGAAAACAATACAAACAAAAACAAATGTATAACTTTATTGACGATGGTAAGAATGAACAACTGTGGAAAGAACCAAAATCTGGCTCACTCAAAAGCAGATCTCATTTGTTTTTGAATATTTTATGCAGTGACTCATCTTGGATCCCCAGACATTTTTTCTCCATCGACTGCACTTAGAATAAGTTATCCCTCAGCCTCGACACTGTTTTTCATATAATGTATATACATATTCTGTTGGTCCTGAGTTGGGAGATAAAATGTATGAAAAGAGAGCAGTTGGATTTGGAGCAGCATCCAGAGGGGAGCAGCCAAAATAAGGAGAGAATATCAGCAGCACTACCAGCCAGCGTCACTGAGCTGCTAAGCAGGACTTAACGACACCCAGGGGGCTATGTATGTGTGCATGTGTGTATTTTTGTGTGTGTTCCTTCTTTACAAGCCCAAAATAAGAACTCTGTTTCGGGGTCAAATACAGGCCAGATAATGTGAAATGCAGAACTTTATTTGAGGGTTAGCTGACTATTAAAATGAAAACACGTTATTTGAATTATAACAGGATAATGGAACAAAAGCCAACTTGTTTTTCTACCTGCTTTATATCCACTTGTGGTGGCCAAGTAACACTTGTTAAATTTAAAAGAGCAGTCTTGCTCTAACAGCCATTAAAGGAGCTCATTGTTGCTGCAGAGTAAAGATAGCCTAAAGCTTCATTTATGCATGTCTGCAACTATGCATAGGCGCCAATGTGTACCTATGCAGCGAAGGCATTTATGAGTTGACATAGGTTGGTGATGGTCGCAGACGGGCCAGTGTGCACGGCTCCCAAATATCAAATACGTGTTGTGCAGAGCTGTTTGTCCTGCACACAGATTGGTTGATCCAACTCTGCTCTGATTGAGACATGGCTGCCTGCTAATTGGTCCACTAGCAGGTCTCACATCTTTGAAAATGTCAGAGAAAACGTCTGAATTGGCATTACTTGGCTAGACTGGCCACCTATTCTCAATCTCAATGCTTACAAAAATATCAACACTTAATAAAGTGGCATAATACCAGTCCTAGGACAAAAGTCAGAACAGCTTTGAGCCTGGCTCAAAATCTTTAGCATGTCAATTTCCTGACTTCTTCTATGTTTTCTGTACTGTGCTGTTGGAGCACCCCTAGTCAGAATATTAACATTCACACATACATAAAAGCAACAGCTATGCAACCATCTGACACAGAAGTAAACATCAGGCTTAACATAGAGTGGTTTCACCATGAGGTCTGAACAAATAACAATGGTACTGTCTTCTAAATCACCTGGACCAATAGTCAGCTCTACCAACCAGTTGCTAATAAATCAATCTGGACATGATCTCTTATTTACTTCTCATCTGTGAACATTGTAATTACACTTTTATCATGGTAGACATTTTTATACGGATGTACTGTAACTACCAACATTATTTAATGGCACTTTTTTCGTAAGCCATGCCAGTAAGTCAGCATGCACAATGGGGCCCTGGAATTTGGACATGTAAATGGAACGCAGCCATCATTCATAGTAGTAATTAGACACATGATTTCCTACCATGAAATGCCAAAATGTTTGCCATGAAAAGGGTTTATCATCCTCTTTGAAACACCTTTATTTATTTATTTTTTTATGCTTTATGCTACACTATCTAAACATAACTCATTCCAGTGCCATAAAGCAGCGTTAGGTTCAACTGGTTTCCACTTAATTTATCTCAGAATGTAAATTATAAATTCAGTTTTCTCTCAGCTCTCCACAGCTGTTTTCATCACAAAAACAGTTGTCATAAGCAGCCAATTAATGAATAATTTAGAAGAATAAGACATGATTACCTTAGAGAACACAATCTTTATAGTGTAAACCCATCATGCACCAGAGGAAACTACAAGAAGAACATATGATTTACTGCAGACATGGCTCTGGAGGCCTCATGTGTTACAGAGTCTCACCACATAATGCCATGACCTTCGGGAAAATTCCAGAGTTCCTAACATTGGAGGCCAGCTGGTCAACCCCTAAAGCTGATTATTTTGGGAATGGGGCTGCAGTGAAGTGTGTGTGTTGTGTGTGGGTGTGGAGCGGAGTTGACCACTCATTTTGAAACCCAAGGGGTGGTCTGGGCGATTAGAAAGAATCTGAAGATAACAAAAAACTGGAGAAACGTCATGCTGGTGTAACATTGTTTGCTATTATGCTTATTTTGTGCCTGCTTGTTAATATTTCCCGTTAGCAAAAGTATCAACAAGCATTGACATGCACTGATGAAAACATCTAAGCTACTTGTGGTTATGTGGAAAGGCTCATTATATTATTCCACAGTCAAAACATGTTGTACAACTCTTCTTCAAAACTATTAACTATCACCAGACATTTTCATCCATCGGCCTTGATCAGGGTGAACACTTTGTGTGTGTGTGTGTGACTGACTGAAAGAGAGGCACACATGCATGCGCATGTGTGTGTGCTCAAGTGACCCTCCATGACCTTGCTGTCCCATTCCCTCCCCTACTGTCATGAATGGCCAGACACAAAATCACAGCTGACTGTAGAGCCCCCGAGGTACCATCACTTCTGATTGCACCAAACCATTGGTTGTGGAAAGGGTTTTGATATGGTGCTGCATCCTGTAGTGAAAAGAGAGGTTCTACTACTAAAAAGGGGAGAAATTGTTCATAATTTCTCCTCTGTACCATCCCCATTTTGACATCTTGTATCACATTATCTACTATTCTTTTTGTTATGTATTTGTTTGATTAAAGACATATATTCATTTTTTGTTATTAATATATTAGATCAACACAAAAAGTAACAGCATGGAGGTCTGGATAGTAAAAGGAATCTTTAAAACCAGTCCTGCAATTCTTTCATTTTTTCCTTCTTTCTTTCTTTCCATGAACATGATCTTTCATGTGAATATTGTAGGAATAACCGATATAAAATAAACAGAGTAGGACATTTTGCTCATAACGATGTCAATACATGGAAAAAATGTAGATGCATGAAACTAGAATTCTATTTCAAAATGTGTTTTGCAAATGCAAAATAGTGGGATTTCTGACAAAACACAGTATTAATACTAACATTATTGACTACACTCATCCTGTTAGAGGTAATTGGTACTGATGTTTATTGAATTAAGATGAGATAGGATGGTTTGAATTTCTGGTAAATTCCTTTTCCACATCCTGCACAGCCTCTTTCTTAGCAAGTTCCTACTTTTCTCTAACTTTCCTCCAAAGTACTACTGTAGTACTCTCCAGCTCCATTATAGCTCATTTGGAAATATTGTATCTCAATTTCAGCTCACCTCTTCCATCCGTATATCAAACACCCAAGGGAACAAGAACAATATGTTCCCAAACAATAAAATGAGAAGATGTATCACAGTCACCAATAGCTTGTGGTGAGTGTGGTTTGAGGTTTGGGGGTGGATTTTTCTTGCACTTTCCTCTTCAGACACTTTATAGAATTAAACCGACGACACCTCCAGGAGACAACAACAGCTTCTGGCATCCCAGAACCACCTCCACACCCGCTGTCACTGCTGATCAGACCCCTAGACGTCTGCAATGCACAACCACCCTGGCATTACACCTACAGTTATTGGCTTTGCTTTATCATTTACTGTAAAAGAGGAAACATTTCATGGTAAAATTTGAGACAAAAATAGGAGGTGGGGATTAGTGCATCATTAGGTTTGACATGGAAGGTCGCAGTGTCATGTCAGTGTCATGTCAGGTTTGAATGCATGCTGCTCTGTTTGGTGAGTGATGAATGAATACATGAATGTAAGTATCGTACATGCCTGTGTCTCTGTGCATAGCAAAGCAGTGTGGGAGGTGTCAGCAGGATAAGCCACAGAATGATCACCCAAAATCCCTCAAATAATCCAATTGCACCATGGAGAGTAAAAAGGAGGCAAAAAAAGTGGAGCAACAGAAAATAAAAACAGGAAGAGTGAGAAAAAAATGAAGTGAGAAGTACAGAGAGAGGAAGATCTGGAACAAAAGAAAGAGACAGATGTACAGTATGTATAGTCCAAAAATAATGTGTTAGATGATGAGATATGAGAGAAAAATGGAGAGAGAGATTAAAGACAAGATGGCAAATGGCATCTTACAGTGTCACAATCCCATATGTCTAAATTAATTTAATAATACAACACTGGTTTATCTCTTTAACCATACAGAAGGATCCTCAAAGGAAAGAATATGTGGGGGAAATGTTTTACTTTAACACACATATAACTACACTACACAATGGTGGAGGGTATGTGTGTTTTTGTGCTGGGGATGGAGGCGAAACTAAATTTAAAAGATTAAGTTGTATAGTTACATGTACAACTGCGAAATAAAAAAAAATTGAACAAATTTTATATTGTTTTTAAAAGCTGTGTTGATGAATGCTGTGAAGTGGTTCATTAGTTAATGCAAGGTGAGATCTACAGTTTTCTCACCTCACTCAGAGAGGGAGGCTGTTCAGTAACCTTGCTCTTAGTTGAGTATAATTTAAGTCCTGTGTTCTGTCCTTTTTCTGTACAGAATGTCCTTCCTATAGGAGGGTTACGTTTTATGTTGAGGTATAATTGCGTTTAATTTAATTACATTTATTCAGTAACAAGTCCCGCTCTGTTCACCACATTATGTAGTTTCACTCATGCAGCAATGCAACGTGACAGCGAGCAGCTTAGCCGGCGTTTGAAAGTGGTAACGGGCGATGGGTTATTTTCTTTATCATTTGGAAAAAGTAGTCCCGAAAGCCAGAGCGCACCACAGCTCGTACCTTCTTCAGCCCTCCGCATAACAGTTTCCATGTCTGAGTGGACGCGTACCGACACAGATGGTTTCATTACGGTATCCCGCTGTATGCTGACCGAAACTACAGTTCTCTAGGAAAGATCTCCCCGTGTTACCGGTTGAGTTTTTGGATGCGCCATGCAATCTCGCTGGTTGAGTGACATTCGGCTGGTGGCATGGACGTGGGTTTGGAGTCTGGCATTGCTCGGAGCGTGGTGCATCCCAGCAAATGAAGGTAAAACAATCTCAGGGTTAACGAGACTGATGTGTAGTGGGGCTTACTGGTTAAAGGTCCGCTGTGTGTCCAGACCGTTGGTCTCATTTGGGCTGGCTTCTCGACGCCGTTTGACAGAAAAAAAGGTCGATTATAATATTCTTTTGGGTACATACCGTTTTTTGACAGCTGTGCCCCCTTTCAAGAGTTGTAATGAGTGTGTGTTCCAAAAACAATGACATTCTAAAGGACCTTTGAACAGAACATACGTCTCCAGTCAGCCAGTCCTTGGAGGATTTGGCGGAGGCGCAGACAGACGCACAGTGCGCTGGCAAAATCACTAAATCTAAATATTTTCCTGTGCAACGTTTAAGGTTCTCACCATATTGGCGAGTTGACACTGACCATAAAAGGTATAAAATAAAAGAACACAGAATATGAATCCCCATTTCCTTGGCTGAGTGAGTTTTAATTTACCTACTTTTTTATTTCTTGTAAGACTGGGGAATACATTCTTTTCATTCCCTTTCTAAGATTATTTTGATTTAGTATAGTCTGTCATGTCATTCTGTCTTTAAACAAGTGGACTGAATACTTGTAACCTCTGAATCCAGTTGGCATGTCTGTCCACCACTAAGTTCAGTGGTTACTTACTGTAATGCTACTTAGCTTGTCACATATTAACAGTTTAGTTTGGCACCACTCCTTATATTGGTGCAATTATGCATGTCTGCAGTTGGTTGTACATGATAAATCAATTTTCTTCTTAACTGAACCAGTGCACACCTGCATTTCCTCCTGC